CCAACGTATTGGTTATTAGTATATAGAGATAGTGGAACGCTGGAAATTTATTCTCTTCCTGATTTACGTTTATCCTATCTTATTCGGAATTTTGGATATGGGCAATATGTGTTACACGATAGTATGGAATCTACAACATTACAAACGACACCTGTTAATGAAATTCCTAATCCTGAAATGCAGGTATTGTAAATACATCGAATTTTAAAATATACGTAAACTTAAATTAAAAAATAAAAATAAAATTATATAAAATTAAAAAATAAAAATAATTAATTATATAAAGAAATTCATCAAATAACATATAATTAGGTGCGGGAAATTTTAATGGTAGCATTGGGTCATCATGGTAATAGGCCAATGTTGTTAGTACGACTTGATTCTGAACTTCAAATTTATCAAGCATATAGATATCCAAAAGGTCATTTAAAATTAAGATTTAAAAAGTTAGATCATGGTATAATACCAGGACATTTAAGGTATATGTATATTTTTTTTTAATTATCTTATTTCTGTTTTTACGATTTCTAATTAATAATTTATTTTGTAGACCAAAACCAAGGGATGAAGATATGCCTACAATGAATGAAACTCGACATTGCATGATGCGTTATTTTAGTAATATCGCTGGATATAATGGTGTATTTATTTGCAGTGATTATCCTCACTGGATATTTCTTACAGGACGTGGTGAATTACGTACTCATCCGATGGGTATTGATGGTCCTGTTACTTCATTTGCTCCTTTCAATAATATAAATTGTCCACAAGGATTTTTATATTTCAACCGAAAGGTTAATTAAATTTTTTATACATACATTTCTTAAATTATCTTTTATAATTATTAAAATTAAACTAGGAAATTTATGAATTAATTTTAGGAAGAATTGAGGATATGTGTTTTACCAACTCATTTATCATATGATGCTCCGTGGCCTGTTAGAAAAGTACCATTAAGATGTACACCACATTTTGTCACGTATCACCTTGAAAGTAAAACTTATTGCGTTATAACGAGTATAGCTGAACCACTTAAAAGTTATTACAGATTCAATGGCGAAGATAAGGTATAAATAAAATCATCCAAAGCCATGAAAGTAAAAATAACGTCTTTGTTAATTTTTTTTTTTTTTTTTTAGGAATTCACAGAAGAAGAACGACCAGAACGATTCATTTATCCTTCACAAGAACAATTTTCAATAGTATTATTTTCACCTGTTTCATGGGAAACTATTCCTAATACTAAAATTGAACTTGATCAGTGGGAACATGTTACTTGTTTAAAAAATGTTTCTTTAGCTTATGAAGGTACAAGATCTGGTTTAAAAGGTTACATCGTATTGGGAACAAATTACAATTATGGTGAAGATATTACGAGCAGAGGAAGGGTAAATTCTATTTTTATGTTAAATACGTTAAATATATTAAATTCTATGTTATTTAAAAGTTTATTTTGTAGATACTTATATTTGACATAATTGAAGTCGTACCTGAACCTGGCCAACCATTAACAAAAAATAGATTCAAACAGATTTATGCGAAAGAACAAAAAGGTCCGATTACTGCAATTACACAAGTATCTGGCTTCCTAGTTTCAGCAGTTGGTCAAAAAATTTATATTTGGCAATTGAAAGATAATGATCTTGTTGGAGTTGCTTTCATAGATACACAAATTTACATTCATCAAATGTTAAGCATTAAAAGCTTAATTTTAATAGCTGATATATATAAATCTATTAGTTTATTAAGATTTCAAGAAGAATATAGGACATTATCCCTTGTTAGTAGAGTAAGTAGAGTAAAAATTTTCTTGTAATTTTATTTTTGTGATTAGAGAATTTGTAACGAATATATCATTTTCAGGATTTTAGGCCAGCTGAAGTGTATACTATTGAATATTTAATTGACAATACTAATTTAGGATTTCTTGTGGCTGATGGTGAAAATAACATGGTTTTATTTATGTATCAACCAGAATCACGAGAAAGTCTTGGAGGACAAAAATTAATTAGGAAAGCTGATTTTCATCTTGGACAGAAAATAAATACATTTTTTCGTATAAGATGCAGAGTTTCAGATCCTGCAAACGATAAAAAGCATTTTTCTGGTGCAGATAAAAGACATGTTACTATGTATGGTAAGTTCAATAAAAGACTGTAAATTAACTATAAATTTATTTAAATAGAGATATATTAATTTAATTTTATTAGCATCACTTGATGGCAGTCTTGGTTATATCTTACCTGTACCAGAAAAAACATATAGAAGATTACTTATGTTACAAAATGTTCTGGTAACGCACATTTGCCATATTGCTGGTTTAAATCCCAAAGCATATCGGTAATTATTATATTAAAGAGAGATTATTTGAATAATAAATATTTTCTATATTATTTTTTATTTTTTTAGTACTTATAAAAGTCATATTCGAACTCAGGGTAATCCTGCAAGGGGTATTATTGATGGTGATTTAGTTTGGCGTTATCTTTTCTTGCCCAACAATGAAAAGATAGATGTAGCAAAGAAAATTGGAACACGTGTACAGGAAATAATAGAAGATCTTACAGAAATAGATCGACAAACGGCTCATTTTTAAAATAGTGCCTTTTTATCATTCCAAAAAAGAAAGTTTTAAATTTCTCCTATTTGATTCTTAGTCTCCGATTCGATATAAAATTTGACTGAAAAAACATTTTTTATTAAAAATAGTAATGATTACTTGTATTTGTACTTTTTATGAAATATCTATTTCTAAAAGCTAATTTTTTGTAAACATATTTGAACCATAAATACAAATATAAATTAAATATAAATAATATGAGTGTATGTATATATATATTAATTAGAATTTTGTACAAATGAAGAACAATATAACATTGATTTTTTTATTTGCTAAATTCATGAGTTATCTTTTGTCAAAGAAATATTATTTAGGCAATAAATTTTTATAAAGAATTTTTTTCTTGTGTTTTATAAATTATATTTTTAAAACGAATCTAAATTAAAATTTAAAATACATAATGAAATCAGCAGCGGAACTTATAACAATTCGTGCAAGTCGAGAATCTATTAGACAAAGTATTATAGCACGGCGGTTAACGAAAATTGAATCTGTACAATGTATGTATCATTTATAATGATAAATGTATATATAATATACATTTAAATGTATGTATAAATGTAATATATAATAATTTATAATTTAGAAATATATAAAATATTATACATTACTATAAGAAAGAATTCGCACATATAAAAATCTATGTTCTTATAAACGTTATATTGATCAAACAGTTAGATAGATATGTAGTCAATTTGTATACAAAAAACTACATATGAATTATAATTTATAGCTACATAATTTTTATGTAATATAAAAGATACATGGCACAGTGTAATACTATATTGTTTAATTCATATTGTTTACTAGCATTGTAATTTTATATTACATATTTTTCATGTATTTTTATAACCAATACTTTTTGTGCAGTACCATTACCAGAACCAACATTGTTGGAGAAAAGACTTTGTGAAATATTTGATGTATTTGATACTGCAAAGACTGGTGAAATAGATGTTAGAGATTTGGGGACTGTTATTAGGGCATTAGGATGTGTTGTGACAGAAGCCGAATTACAAGAAATACAAGTTGAAGTGGAAGATGTAGTAAATAATAGCGTACCATTAAATAAATTTCTAGGATATATAACTAAGGCTATCAACGAACGCAAGTAAATTTCCTATAAATTTGAATTTGATTAAAATATAAAAATTATAACATTAACATTTTTTATGTAAAACAAAATTTTACTCTAAAATTTTGAACTTTTGATTTTTACTTAGATTTAAACCAGCAGAACCAGAAGATTTATTAAAAGCATTTCAATTATTAGATCCCGAAAATCGAGGATATATTATGCGTGAAGATCTGGAAAAAGCAATGATGGAAATTGGAGAACCATTTTCAGAGGAAGAAATAAATAATATGATGGCTATGGCATGTGATCCAGAAACAAAAAGAATTAATTATGAACATTACATTCATTTACTGCTTGTACGTATTGATATTTATAATTTTATTACAAAATTATTATTATAAAAAATAATGAAAATTATTAAATTTAAATATAACTAAAATGAAAGTAAAAGTGAAAGTAAAATTTTTATATTATTTATACATAGATAAAAATACCTGATGAAATTAATGTATATTCTATTGTTGATGTAATGGATGCTGCTAAATTAGAAGTTATGCCTAAAAAACCTAGATTGGAAAGTCTTTTATTAACTTATCAGAGACTTGATTAGGATTAATTTGGTCATAATTTTGTAATTTATTGCGTTTATTAAAAGAAGTACAAAAAAAGATGTTAGTATTAAAATAACTATAAAAATACAAGAAACATTTCTTATTCTTTCTCTAAAAGAATATATGTAAACCTCATCTTATATGTATTATTACAGTATATATACGTAATATGTATCATAAAATTTTTATTTACAATTTAGAAAATATTGGTGGTTCACCTTTGGTAACTTGTGATACAGTTGCATTTAAAAAGTCTTCACTTAGAAGCATACTTTGATTATGCATAGCCTGTTAAAATATATTTTTTAAAAGATATATAAATCTACATATAAAATAAAAATAATTTTTATTGCAGGTGGAAAAGTAGCTTACAATGTGATCGAGGCCTTCTTGAACAGAATGATCTCTCGAATATATTAAACTTAATTTTGAACCCTGTATTGCAACTGGACTTTTATTTGCTATTTCTTCTGCAAGTTCTATTGAGCCATTTAATAAACTAAGAATAAAAGAATATGTTTTTAACTCGATAATTTATTCTCAAAGTAGAAAGATTTATTCATTATTTGTATAAAATACAAAAATATTTTCTACCTTTCTTGATTATCAAATGAACGGCTCACAAAACCTTGTTGTACAGCTTCAGCAGCTGTAAATTTTCTTGCAGTATAAACAAGTTCTCTTACCAAGCTATCAGAACCTATAATTTTTTGAAATCTTTGTAATGTACCAACATCAGCAGCCATTCCAATATCAACTTCTTTTATTTGAAACCATGCATCTGAAGAACAATAACGAATATCTGCCGCTGATATCATATCGACTCCACCTCCAATACATGCGCCATTTATGGCTGCAATCACTGGTTTTGGACACTAGAAGATAATAAATGATTCATAATAAATAATAGTGAATTTTTTTTAGATAAAGTTGTTATATTTAATTAAAAATTAATAACCTTTTCTATTGCAGTAAAACTATCTTGATAGTTTTTAATACGTAATTGTAAAATTTTTGATTTACGTGCAATATCTTCATGTACTGCTAATTCTTGGCCAAATTTCATTATATCTTGTACATCAATACCTAAAGCATTAAATTCTTAAATTTTAACATTTATCCAGCATTAAATTCTTAAATTTTAGCATTATATTCTTGTATTCTCATAAAATATACCTGCACAAAATATTTTTCCAGCACCTGACAGAATTATCACTCTACATTCTGGTTCTGTAGCTAGTTCATCGAAGCAAATTTTAAATTCTCTGCAAGATTATTAAATTAAATACATCAAACTTCTAATGTAATATTAATTAATACTTAATAGAAATACATACTTCCACATAGTATCATTTAATGCATTAAGCTTTTCAGGTCTGTTTAACTGTACGTTATAAATGAATTTTTTTGGTACTGATATTGCTAAAGTTTTATATTTATTAAAATTCTTGACACTGGAATAATTCATTTTATAAATATATTGAATTTCTGAAAAAATCAAATATTTATTTTAATCTTTTTACACACAATACCTGTTATTATAAGTAATTCAAAATAAATTACAATATGTATATAGATAATTCAAATATTAATTTTGATACTAATTTATTGTATTAAGATAAAAATAAAATATACCTTTATGCGCTCCTAGAATGTTTCTCAAATAATGACGTACCAGATTTACAATCATTATAAAGTATAAAGTTATTAATTAATAATTAACAATTTATTAATTAATAATTAATGAAGATAAAATCTGAAAGTAGTAATAATTTTATGATATTTAATTAGATTGTATTTTTAAGATGTGACGTCATTCGAGTAAAAATTTTTTAGCTTATTAAATTAACAATGATGCTTCATTTTCTAAAAAAAAAACAAAAAGAAAGTTCTAAAATTCTTATTTGTGCCGGTATTATGAAAGTGGTCTAAGTTAAGAATTAAAAAAAAATGAGTTTATTAGTTATTTCGCGTCACATTATTTTAAACTAATATAATCTAATGTAATTTCTAAAAAAACTGTAAAAAATGAACTGTTAAATGAGTTGGTTGTTAAGTCGTTAAACGGAATTCAATTAATATTCATTTTGATAATGGACTAGCCAGTTGCATTCTCGTAAATTTATTTATAGAAAAATAATTAATTATTTTATTATGAGATAGCTAGAAAAGTTGTTGCCAATTTTTATTGTTCATAATAATTATAATCATTCTGTAAATGAAATTTTTAATTATGCATGAAAATATAATGTAGAGCCTTATTGATAACAAATGTACACTATCTCAAATAGTTTTAGTTTCGTTTGTACAATTAAACATTTACAATATTATAATAATATTTGATTAACTACGTAAAATCCTATAACTAAAAACTACTATATTGCTGTAGCTCTACTATCTATTAAATGCTTTAGGAACTACTGTGCAGCTAACTTCATGAGCTTTACAGGCTCTCCTAGATTGATCTGTGAGGTGCTAAAAGGAAAAATGTTGTCGAGATTAAATTTTCGCCATAGTAAGATAAAACACTACATATAATAAATTACAATTATTATATTGTAAATGTTGCATTTTATATCATTTCAATGTAACATTTTTGCCATTGTCAAATAATGTTAATTATTTCGTTACCATTATGTAATAATGAAATATTACTTGAATGATATTTTGCTTCTAGAAGATCATAATACAAATTTAATTTTTAAATTTCATTTCGTGCAATATGTTTGAATTAAATTGTAAAATATATTCACATTTGACACTTTGAATCATAACCAAATTTTTAAATTATTCAATTTCAAATAGGCTGGTAGAAAATAGTTTTGAACTTGTAGTTTTCCTATTTCTATCATTTATTTTGCAGTTCCTTCACAATTAAAAGCTATAGCTGCTTGTGGGATTCAAACAAGTGCAGTTAAGTCATCTAGTGAACCACGTCCAAAACGTCCTATAGAGGCACCTCCAGTTAGGTTGGGATTCATTCCAGATGAATGGTTCCAACTCTTTTATCCTAAAACTGGTGTAACAGGTAAATCAATAATTTATCATGTATCCATTTATCCTTTTAATTAGATATGATTTTAACTTTTAATTTTGTATTTAGGTCCATATGTGTTTTTAACAACTTTCAGTACATATTTAGTTTCCAAAGAATGGTATATTCTGGAAGATGAATTTTATACTGGAATTTGTTTGCTTTCTTTAATTTTATATGGTTCGTATAAAATTGGACCGAAGCTTGCAGCATATTTAGATAAAGAAATTGAAACTATTGAGAATGATCTTAATAGTAGTAAAGAAAACTCTATAAAAGAATGTAATGCTACTATTCAAGATTTAGAAAAGAAAAAATGGTCTGCAGAAAAGCAGTTGATGATCTATGATATTAAAAAACAAAATGTTTTAATGCAGTTGGAAGCTAATTATAGAGAAAATTTGGCAATTGCTTACACAGAGGTAACATGTTTATTTTACTGTAGTATAAGTAGTGTGTTTTAAAGTAAATGTAATATATTAAATGACAACATTTGTTACAAATATAATGAAATGTGTATTTTCATTATAGGTTAAAAAGATCCTTGATTACCATAGCCAAATAGATGGCATAAATCGCAGAATTGCCCAGAAACACATGGTTCAATGGATAACAAACAATGTATTAAAAGCTATTACACCTGAGCTAGAAAAAGCTAATCTTCTGCAGTGTATCAAAGATCTTGAAACTCTTTCAGCGAAATCTTAAAATTTAATTTTGAATCGAAGAAAATAAAAGTACTATTAGTAATCTGAATTAGATCATTGTAAAAAAAAAA